CTCGTTTCTAGGTTGGGGAACAGGAGCCCCGATCGCTAGGCAGATTAGAAGGAACTGTGGGGGTCCCTCCAACCAGGGTACCACAAAGCCAAGGTCAGCAGTTTCAGTAAGGAATATGGGGAAGCCTGCCCTGTTGCCAGTGGTTACAAGCCGGAGTTGGAAGCAGGTGGGCAGCGTGCAGAGTCCGAGAAATGATCAAGGGCCAGGGTATGACCCTAATACCTGGAGCAGGGATGCTCACAGTGACCTGGTTTTTGCAAAGGCCAGGTTGATCTAAGAGCCAAGGTTGGGGTCAGTGCCAGGCAGTGCAGGCTTGGCCCCTGAGCATCCCTTGTCTCTGGGATGTATTCTGTTCAGTTCTGCCTGCTGGTCCCTTCAGGCCTGTGACTGCCTTGTCCCTGTGTTACTTGCCTTGGCCTCGGTGGTGGGAACCTGAGGAGCCCACCCCCTTCTCACGTGCACATGAGCCCGGAGCCCCCTTCCGAAAGGCTGGTGACAAACTCTGAGCAGGGTGGTGCCCCCTGGGGACTTCAAGGGGACTCTCTTTCTCGTGGCCCTGAGCCTGTTCCCAGTTCCGTGCAGGGCAGCAGGCTTGCCGCCATGCTGTTTGTCCAGCTGCCCGGCTCCTGTGGGCGCACGGGTGGCTCAGAAGGTTCTTTTGTGGCCCTCATCCTTCCTGATTGATCTGTGTACACTCTGGGACATTATGGTTCCACGGAAGCTTCTGTCGTCACCACTTAGAGTCTGTTTGACACAATAAACATTGACCAAGCAGCAGGCAGATGTCAGGCCCTGGGCTGTATGCGTGAGGGGCCAGAGTCGGGGCTCTGGGCGCAGTGTCAGGAACAGGCCGCCGTGGCTCGGTAGAAAGGGGTCTGAGTGTGGGCTCAGTGGGGCTGAGCCCCGGCACAAGCGTCGTGAAACGGTACGGTCGTCCCAAAGTCACCCAGCCTGACCCTCTTCTGTAGCGGGTGGGCCGTGGAGGCTCAGGGAGGCTCAGGGGTTGCCTTACTTGGCGTTCGCTGTCAGTCCAGGAGACGAGCCCTGGGCCCCTACGCTCAAGGAGGGCACCTCTCTCTGGGAGACAGTCCATCAGCCAATGACGAGGGGCTTGTGCAGGGCTGGGTGTGATCCAGGAAGCCTTCCTGGAGGCACCGCTTGAGCTGAGTTTTGAGAAAACCAATAGAAGTCGGCAAGGGGGAGAGTATAAGGGCCATTGCATGTGACATAGGCAGGAGTGTCACAGGTACTGGTTGAGAGAGCACAGAGGACAAGGGCGGACAGCCCTCAGCTTGGTCTAGAATATTCTGGAGGAGCAGTCGAGGGCGTCATGTCTACCTCCGCCTCCTTTTATGTCTTCTTCCCCTTGGCGGCTTCCCCACTGCGCAGCCCCGGGAGTCCAGAGACCCGGCTTCCAGTCCTGGCCCCACTACCCGCCAGGGGAAGGTCTGCAGATCTTGCCAGGGGCCCCACGTGCACCCCGCCGGGCACCGGGGAATGGAGGGGGTACCCAATTCCTGGCTCTCAGTCTGTTGCTGGAGGCAGACGCCCCAGGGAAGTGCCAAGTGCAGAGTGCCCAATGCAGAGTGCCAAGTGCAAAGTGCTGTGTGCAGAGTCTTGAGCGCTGAGTCCTGAGTGCCGAGTCCTGAGTGCCGAGTCCTGAGTGCCGAGTGCAGAGTCCTGAGTGCTGAGTCCTGAGTGCCAAGTGCAGAGGGCCGAGTGCAGAGACTGAGGTGCTGGGGAGGGAAGGCTTCCCAGGTCGGCGAGGCTGAGATGGACAGGCAGACAGGGCAGGCTCCAAGCAGACGCGATAAACAGCCCATGCAAAGGTCCAGCGGCATGAAACCAACCACACAGCCTCTTCCCACACCTGCTGGGACCCTCCCCATGCCCCCTCCCCCTGCAGGTGAGAAGGTCTGAGGCTGGCATGACACTATGGCGAGGACAAGGCTACACACAAAGCCGTGAGAACAGTGGAGGGTCCTGCCAGGGTGGCAGGAATCTTTGCTTTATTTAGAAAGGCTTGAGAGAAGATGAAAAATGAGAGATTGAAAAGGTAGAGACATTGCTTGGGGACAGACAAGTCATTTTCAATTCTCTGCTGTTCTCAGAAGGATCTTTGCATAAGGCTACCAGCCAGCAGGCGTGTTTTCCATTTTTTCCTCCTGTGTTTTTCCTGGTTTATCTTTGGTCGTCTGAAGTGCTTGTCTAAAAAGAGAAGGTTTTAGGCAGGAACTTAATAGTGGTATTGTCGCCAGCAAGCAAGATGTACCCTGTGCAAAAAGCAGTTCTGCTCTCATTGGGGAGGAGAGGGGACCCAGGTTCCCGTGCCTGTGCCACCACTATCAGTGTGGCCCTGGGCACGTCAGCTCTGCGCAGGGTTCCAGCGTTCCCATCTGGACGGTGAGCGATCCGTTACATGACTGCCTGAGTCTGTAAAAGTCACAGCTGAATGCTGTAGGAGCCCCAGAATGTCAGGGATGCCCCACCCACCGGTGACCCCGCCCCTCCGATGGCCCCGCCCATCCCATTGCTCCTCCCTCCTCCACCCCTCGGTTCCTTTAGTCCTGTCAGGGAGATGGGCGATTGTAGGAGGGATGTGTTTGTGGACCGGCTTTGAGGGGTGTCATTTCTCTCTACTTTCTATTGGCTGGGACTCACTTTGTGTCACACCACACTGCCGGGGAGACTGCAATCTGGCCGTGTGCCCAGGAGGAAAAGGAACGGTTTGGTGAGCACCCAGCCAGCCTCTACTGCCAGAGCTTTCTCAAGTTCAAGTTTTCCTTGAGGGGAGGTGAGGGAAGGCTCCCGGGGGTATGAGGCCTGTGAGCAGGGCCTTGAGACGCAGAGCTGGGGTGCGTGCCCGGGAGCAGACGCAGGAGCCCAGCACGGAGGTCACAGTGGGCGGGGTTTCCCTCTGTCCCGGCTCTCCTCCTCCGCGCAGCCCTCCCAGGCATCTCTCCCTCCCACCGGGCGCTGTGCCGTCCTGTTTCAGACGAGGAAGCAAAGCCCTGGCTTCCGAAGGGGCTCACCCTGTTCCTCCACGGGGCGCCCGTGTGGCGCGAGGATCCTGGCCTGGTGGCCGGGGAGCGTGACCATGGGCAGGGTGAGTGGTGTTGGCAGTACATTTCCTCCTGTCGTTGGAGGCAGTGGTTCGCCACGGCCACCCCAAGACACAGCCCAGAGGCCTGCCTGCTGGGGCAGCCGTCGCCCCCCTCTGAGCTCCCCGTGCACCTCCCCAGGGCCCCCTCACAGGGCCGCAGTCCCAGGATGCCCCGCGGCGCCGGCCTGTGGTGGCCCCGCTGGGGACCCTGGAGAGCCGCCCCGCAGGAAAATGCCAGGCGCACGGGGCTCCTCCCTAACTTGCCCTAATTTTAATTCCCTTTAATCTTTAATGAAAAGTTGTAAAAGTAAATTATTTACTCGAGAGAGCCAAACGGCTCCTGCAGAGCTGTCGTGACTCGTGGGTAATTACACGTGCGGGTCTCCAGCGCCTACCTACCCCCCGCCCCCCAGCGCCGAGGCTTATGAACTCATTAGCTGCCTCCATAGCTGTTAGGACGCACGCATCTGGGGGTCCAGCAGGGCCCTGGCCTGACCCGGCTCGCCCCCTGGCTCCTGCCACCCGGCAGAAGGAGCCTGTGCTAGGCTGTGACTCGGGGGAGCTGGGTGGCAGACTGCAGCAGCCCCCCTCGCTGCCTGTCGCTCTCCATCTCCAGCTGTCCCTGTGTCTGAGCCAGCACACCCACAGAAAGACCCCTTCCCAGCGCTGATGGAGGCTCCAGAAGTGGGGGACAAGGGTGATGGGGAGCGGCAAGGGGGGCTGCGGTCTGACGTGCTCCTCCTCAGTCCGCGCACTGCCTCTTTGCTTTAAGACCCTTCCCAAAACACTGTCACCCTACCTCCTGGCCACCATCCATGCTTCTAACCTCTTTTCCAAACTCTCTCTCAATATACAATAAAGTAGCAAAATTTTTTAAAGTTTTAAATGTGTGGCTAAGGGAAACCATATTAACATAGCTGGTCAATGCTTGGAGGAGTGGGCGTGCAGGAGAGGCCGTGTGTCTGTGTGTGCGTGAACATCAGTGGCTACCGAAGCCTCTAGATTGGCACACCTTAGACTCTGAGCTTCCTAACAGCCAAGGAGAAAAGGTCAGTTACTTGACTCGGTAAAGAAGGAGAGTTTGCCGGGTCAGGTGAGTGTCCCCCCGGCAACTCGCTGTCTTGGCATTAGAGGACAGCGGCCACTTTTCACTGGATAATTGGAGAGTCCCGGTTTCAAATGACATCTGCCGTGCCTCCTCCCCAAGGCCGCTGGCCAGCCTTTGTCAAGGAGGAGTGGGGCGCTGGACCAGCAACCAGGGCCCCAGCCTTAGCTCTCGCCTCACACCCCAGTTTCGCTGTTTTTTTCCTACTTGAACTTCTTTGGCTCCATCCAAGGAGTGACAGAGCTCCTTGATGAATTCCCGGGCCAGGCCTTGCCGGAATCAAATTTGACTCTAAACTCTAGGCTCACCCAAGATTTCTGTCGACTAGAAAAATGTGTGTCTTGTGAAATTTAAAATTTAAATGTGCTTTAGCTGAAGCAGGCTTGGCAGAGCCCTGAAAACCTGGCTCCCCGTGGCTGTCCCTAGGTGTCCACCTCATGACTTCCTGCTGCTTTGTTCTTATGTCTTTGAATTTTTATTTTATCCAAAATTAGGTATTTGTACCCAAAGTCTACTTAACTGTCCCCTGTTTCTCATACCAAAGGCCGGGAAAGTGGAGTCGTGAGGCGGGGTGGGGAGGTTGTCCTCGCTGAGAGTTTGGGCTCTGGGGGGGATGAACCTTTACTGCCTGGCCTGGGGCGCCGTGTGCCGAGGAAGAAGGAAGCAGATTGTGGGAGGCGTCCCAGGTCAGCGGGCCATTCCCTTGGCCGCTGGAAGGTGCTTTGCCCAGGGGATGAATGATGGATGGGCGGGGCGAGGCCCTGACCATCTCGTGTCCTGTGTCCCTTGCAGACGTGCTGGTGGACGGGCAGCCCTGTGACTGCGAGGCGGCGGCCTGCCGGGTGGGCGACCCCGTGCGCCTGGAGGTGCGGCTGACCAACCGGAGCGCGCGCAGCGTGGGGCCCTTCGCCCTCAGCGTGGTGCCCTTCCAGGACCACCGGAACGGCGTGCACAGCTACGACCTGCACGGCGCTGTCTCCTTCGTGGGCTCCAGCACCTTCTACCTGGACACGGTGCGTGCCCTCCAGATCCCACTGTGCCCCACCCCGCCCCCGGTGGCTGACACAGGGGCTTCTCCATGCTGACCCTCCGCCCAGCTAGCCCTGAGGCCCTAGACAGCTCAGTGTCCGCATCCCAAGTCCGGGGAGCGAGGCCTCCCCGAAGGTCGCGGAGGTACGGGGCGGGGGGTGGAGGGGACAGGACAGCTGACATCCTGCCTCGTCACCGTTGCCCTCTTCACGGCCCTGCCCCCGCCGTCAGCTCCTCCCTGCTTCGTGGTCACTGCAGGGGCTCAGAGGGACAGGCAAG